AATAAACCATTATCGAACTAATGACATTAGAAAAACCATTAGTGCATTATAATGGCTATATATATATAATGGCTATATATATAATTATATCATGTTATTAAACCGATATCGAACAAATGACATCAGGAAACTATCGGTATATTATAATGATTTTTGGTGGTGTTATTAAACCGATATGAACAAATTACATCAGGAAACTCTCAGTATTTTATAATGGTTCATGGTGGTGTTATTAAACCGATTTCAAACAAATGACATCAAGAAACTATCAGAACCATTGGTACATTATAATCAGTTATGGAATGTTATTAAACTGATATTGAACAAATAACATCAGGAAACCATCAATACATTATCATGGTTATTGTAGTGTTTTTAAACCGATATCAAAAAACCGACATCAGAAAACCATTGGAATATTATAATTGTTTATAGTGGTGTTATTAAACCGATATTGAACAAATTAGATCAGGAAACCATCGGTAAATTATAATTGCTTATTGTGGTGTTATTAAACTGATAACAAACAAATGACATCAGAAAAACCATCAGAACCATTGGTACATTATAACCGGTTATGGCATGTTATTAAACTGTATGGAACACATGACATCAGGAGACCATCTGTATATTATAATGGATTTTGGTGGCGTTTTTAAACCGATATCAAACAAATGACATCAGAAAACATCTGTATATTATAATGGGTTATGGTGGTGTCATTAAACCGATATCGAACAAACTACATCAGGAAAGCATCGGCATATTATAATGATTTAAGGTGGTGTCATTAAACCGATATCGAACAAATGACATCAGAAAACCATCGGAATATTATAATTGTTTATGGTGGTGTTATTTAACCGATATTGAACAAATTAGATCAGGAAACGATCGGTAAATTATAATTGCTTATGGTGGTGTTATTAAACTGATAACAAACAAATGACATCAGAAAAACCATCAGAACCATTGGTACATTATAACCGGTTATGGCATGTTATTAAACCAATATGGAAAAACACATGACATCAGGAGACCACCTGTATGTTATAATGGGTTATGGTGGTGTTATTAAACTGATACCGAACAAATGACATCAGAAAAACCATCAAAGCCATTGGTACATATAACAGGTTATGGCATGTTATTAAACCGATATTGAACAAATTACATCAGGAGACCATCTGTATATTATAATGGATTTTGGTGGTGTTTTTAAACCGATATCGAACAAATGACATCAGGAAACCATCGGTATATTATAATAATTTATGGTGGTATTATTAAACCGATATCAAACAAACTACATCAGGAAAGCATCGGCATATTATAATGATTTATGGTGATGTCATTAAACCGATATCGAACAAATGACATCAGAAAACCATCAGAATATTATAATTGTTTATGGTGGTGTTATTAATCCGATATTGACCAAATTAGATCAGGAAACGATCGGTAAATTATAATTGCTTATGGTGGTGTTATTAAACTGAAAACGAACAAATGACATCAGAAAAACCATCAGAACCATTGGTACATTATAACCGGTTATGGCATGTTATTAAACCAATATGGAACAAATGACATCAGGAGACCATCTGTATGTTATAATGGGTTATGGTGGTGTTATTAAACTGATATCGAACAAATGACATCAGAAAAATCATCAAAGCCATTGGTACATATAACAGGTTATGGCATGTTATTAAACCGATATTGAACAAATGACATCAGGAGACAATCTGTATATTATAATGGATTTTGGTGGTGTTTTTAAACCGATATCGAACAAATGACATCAGGAAACCTTCGGTATATTATAATGATTTATGGTGGTATTATTAAACCGATATCAAACAAACTACATCAGGAAAGCATCGGCATATTATAATGATTTATGGTGATATCATTAAACCGATATCGAGCAAATGACATCAAAAAACCATCAGTATATTAAAATTGTTTATGGTGCTGTTATTAAACCGATATTGAACAAATTAGATCAGGAAACGATCGGTATATTATAATTGCTTATGGTTGTGTTATTAAACTGATATCGAACAAATGACATTAGAAAAACCATCAAAGCCATTGGTACATATAACTGGTTATGGCATGTTATTAAACCGATATTGAACAAATGACATCAGGAGACAATCTGTATATTATAATGGGTTATGGTGGTGTTATTAAACCGATATCGAACAAATGACATCAGGAAACCATCGGTATATTATAATGATTTATGGTGGTGTCATTAAACCGATATCGAACAAATGACATCAGGAAACCATCGGCATATTATAATGATTTATGGTGGTGTTATTAAACCGATATCAAATAAATGATATCAGAAAACCATCGGAATATTATAATTGTTTATGGTGGTGTTATTTAACCGATATTGAACAAATTAGATCAGGAAACGATCGGTAAATTATAATTGCTTATGGTGGTGTTATTAAACTGATAACGAACAAATGACATTAGAAAAAAACATCAAAGCCATTGGTACATATAACAGGTTATGGCACGTTATTACACCGATATTGAACAAATGACATCAGGAGAACATCTGTATATTATAATGGATTTTGATGGCGTTTTTAGACCTATATCGAACAAATGACATCAGGAAACCATCGGCATATTAGAATGATTTTTGGTGGTGTCATTAAACCGATATCGAACAAACTACATCAGGAAAGCATCGGCATATATAATGATTTATGGTGGTGTCATTAAACCGATGTCGAACAAATGACATCAGAAAACCACGGAATATTATAATTGTTTATGGTGCTGTTATTAAACCGATATTGAACAAATTAGATCAGGAAACGATCTGTAAATTATAATTGCTTATGATGGTGTTGTTAAACTGATAATGAACAAATGACATCAGAAAAACCATTAGAACCATTGGTACATACAACAGGTTATGGCATTTTATTAAACAGATATTGAACAAATGACATCAGGAAACCATCGGTATATTATAATGATTTATGGTGGTGTTATTAAACCGATATCGAACAAATGACATCAGAAAACCATCAGTATATTATAATGGGTAATGGTGGTGTTTTAAAACCGATATTAAATAAAAGACATCAGAAAAGCATTTGTATATTATAATCCGTTAAGGCATGTTATTAAACCGATATCAACTCACATAATTGATTACTCCTCTACTTCAGGTCTGAGGCGTGTGCCAGGGCTGACGGAGCTGCATCTGCAGGGCTGTCAGCTGGAGCGTCTACCATCAGCTCTGCTGGCTCTCTCCGGCCTGCGCTCTCTGGATCTCCAGCACAACAGCCTGCGTACGTTAGAGGAGCTGCTTGGTCTGCAGCATCTGCGCCGCCTGTCCTGCCTCAGACTGGCCCACAATCAGGTGCTGTCCCTGCCGGCGAGCGTGGGCGTGCTGCGGGCGCTGGAGCTGCTAGATCTGGCCTATAATCAGCTGCAGACACTACCATCTGCGCTCTTTACGCTGCACAGACTGCGGCGCCTCCTGCTGGCTGGGAATCTGCTACAGGATCTGCCGGCGGATATAGCAGCTTTAAGGCTTTTAAATGAACTCGATCTGAGCGCTAATAAACTGGAGCGTCTTCCTGCAGAGCTGTTTGTTGGTTGTGTTGAACTGCGAGTGCTGAATGTTGCGAGTAATTCTCTGTGCTGTTTGCCGGCCGGTGTGTCCGCGTTGACGCTGCTGTCCCGGCTGGACGTCCGCGGGAATAGTCTGGAGGTGCTGCCACTGGAGCTGGGCTGCTGTTCAGGACTGCGGGGCGGGGGTTTATTGGTGGAGGGATGGCTGATGCACACACTGCCCCCACAGGTCAGGGACGCCCTGCTGTCTGAGGCTCCGTCGCGGCCCTCATCTGAATGCTTTCCCCGTTTTCCATCCACGCAGTGGAGCTTTCACTCCGCTCTGGAGTCTCGAATATAGACGTCTGCTGCAAGACAAACTGACTTTGGGGACTCTTATGGTACATTCACACCAGAAGCAGATGAAACACAAAGCACAACTGATTTACATGTAAAGTCAATGCAAAGATCTGATCAGACATCCTGTGGTACGAATTGAGAGTTGTGGGCATTTGACGCTTGAATCGCTCAAGTTGGAAAATCTGAACTTTAGCCAACATTTGCGCCATGTTAACCAATCAGTAGCTTGCTCTAGTAGGGGCGTGATTATGACGTAGCACCTGTAGTTGGTGTCATGAGAGTAAATCCTCCTGCCAACAATAGTTTCTGGAGTTGTTGATGAACTCAAAGAACTGGGTGCACCTCTGAGAGGATCTAGTGGACTCAGACACAGCGGCAAACAAATCTACACTATTTTCCAGCCTTCCTAACGCCCCATTCAAGAGGTGTCAGCGTCAACGCTTCCCATTCGCTTTAAATGGGTGACATCAGGCATTGCCGAACTGCATTGTAGATCCGTCTGCGCCACTTTAGTGGCGTTGCTTGTTGCAGAAGTTGGGACTTTCTCAACTTTTCAAGCGCCAATGGAAGCATCAGCCAATCAGATTGCTGTATGCAAATACACCAGCTCAGACAGTGGCCTATTGCTGACTAATTTCACACGCTGCCCCCACAGGTCAGGGACATCCTGCTGTCTGAGGCTCCGTAGCGGCCAGCTTCTGAATGCTTTTCTTGCTTCCCGTCCGTGCAGTGGAGCTTACACTCCGCTCTGGAGTTTCGGATATAGCACTTCTGCTGTAAAACAAACTGACTTTGGGGGTTGCTATGGTATGCTCAAACCCCCCTACCCCAACCCCCCACCCCCTCACAGCAGAGGGTCGTACTTAATATAGAATTTTTATTGTTTATAAATATTTGGTAATAATGGTCTATTGAACTAAATATGAATATGTCCTTTATGGCATTTATTAATCACGATTCACAATTTACTAATGCAATATTAAAACGTGTGCTTGTTAACATCCGTTAATGCAATTTTGAGTTTACCAGAATTAAAAGTGAATGAC